GGCGATGTCTACCTCTATTAGTTGATTTACAAAGATGGTCTAACTGACCGTCTTTGCAAATAGCCTATTAACATAGATCGTTTGACCCACCTCTGTCAATAAAAAGTCCGCCTCTTGAAAACACGTTTTTGTACTAGTGTTTTGTCGACATAAAAAAATATAAAAGGTTATATGCACACATATAGTTTCATTAGCTACTATAATAATAATTGTAACATTTCACTACTCAAACAAGATATATATGTTTTGCATATCTAAGAAAAAGATCCAAAGGGATTGTTCGGTTAATCATCAATTCCCCTCAATCCCATCTAATCTGTCTGGGTTGGGATTAATCAAACGAGCCTATGTATTTAATTGTCTTGCTTAGTGCATTAGTTAGATGTGGTGCTCACCGGTCAAATGTGTATAATAGCGTGGTACACTATTAGCGCGGGCTGCTTGAGGTGCCCTCTGTGAATGCGAGAATTTTTTCTGTTTTCTGCACTTTCTATGAAAATAAACTGATTTCTGTGAAAATCCTGTATTATTTCTGTGTTCAAAGGGGGGCCTGAACGTGGGACGGAATAGTCTACAAGGGAGCATGGTGCCGGCCGATCGAGATCTTGCTAGCTAACTCTTGTTCAAAGCTGAGCATGCGTTCATCATTACGATATGTATGCATGCGTTGGTGTTTGACGCAAGGTCACGTCAAAATTCTAGAGACGAAGACTCCTTGCATGTACGAAACCATCAAAGACTCCATAGTCGGTCGATCGACCAGCACGTTACAGTTGCTCCACGGAGGAGACACGGCGTGACTTCCTGTTTCCTGCTGAGCCGAGGCATTATCCCGACACAGGCAGGGGTAGCACGTGCCATGCGGTTATCCTACTAGTCCCCATGATACAGGCCAGGTTGGTACACAACTCGTGCCATGCGGTCAATAATTGAAACTTTGATTAATTAGGCTACTCGTAAAGTACAACCAAACTGTGTAATTAGTCCCTCCATGCACGTATCTGCATGATGTGAATGAGACTAGTCCCCGGCCGAGTGATGAAGGGACGAGAGCTACCTGCCATGCATGCAAAGACCACATCAATTCCATATTTTTTCGCATTCAAAGTCATCAACCATATTTTTTCTACATACTGAGCGTGCATTCAAACGAGAAACGACGTACTCCTATCAACCACATCAATATCTCTCTCAAGCTAGCGACTGTTTATGTATGGGGATGGCCGGGTGGGGACTGGCTTGCATTAAAGTTAACAGCAGTTTATTGAGGATTCACAGAGTACAGAAGAGAGTGCCAATTTTGTTGGGCACTCAGCAAGGTGTCTATGCTGAGCAACAATACAAGTGAATTCAGTTGATACTGCATCAGAACTGAAAAGTTTTTTTTTTTTTGAGAACAATCAGAACTGAAAGCTTGATGAGCAAGAGAGTTCGCCGTGCTGTTCATTGCTCTTGGGATCTTGTGGACCTTGAACTAATGAGGGTGTTGTAATGCTTTTGATATTCCTGTGAGGAGGGTTGGACAAGTCCTTGGAGTTGAAGAAGTTCGTCATAATCTGGTTGTCAGTGAGGACACTGAGTTCATGTTCAATTGCTCTGTCAGCAGGGCAGCGAGTGTGAGTGCTGTACGTTGCTTCCGCCATTAACACTGATTCCGCTTTGGGAAGTTGTGCTTTGATATAAAGACTAAGAGATCCAAGTTTGATGTTGCCTGTGGATGTAGTGAAGACTCCTACCCCTGCATGCACATTTTACAGTGTAGGCTCATGGCTATAATCTGCCAATGTCGACAAATTTTCACTGGCGATTTGTATAAGTACACCTCCAGTATAGATATACCGGTTTGTACCGGCGGTTCACCTAACCCACCACTAGCATAAATAAATATATATAAATATGGGCGACCAGCTAAGAGAACCACCAGCACAAATATAGGTATTTGTAATGGCGACAGCTGAAGGAAATGATTTTACACTGGCGGTCTTCTTAAGCTGTCTTGGTTAGCAGTTTTCTTAAGCTGCCACCAGTATTATTGCATAAATACATTCTTCTTCTTCGAGCAGCACTGTTCAGACCAAGCCACCTTCCATAGAGGTCAAAAATTGCAAAATACAAGGGGAGGTTTCGATCTTCATTTCTTTTCAAGGATGTTGCTCAATAAGGTTAGTTCATGTCTAACCTATGTATTTTTAGATGAATCTTCCATAGTTTATGGCCTAATTGGATCTAGGTTGTCATAGTTGGCATGGAGAGAGAATGCATGGTGTTTGGGTATTTTAACACCGTATTTACTATAGTTTGTGTCCAAAAACTATTGTAGTAGGTAGCTTCATATCTTGCTTCAATTATATATCATCGATTTCATAATTTATGGATCCTAGAACCACCGGGAATAGGTCGTATCTAGATGATGAGTTTCTTTATTAAAATAGATTAAATAGTTATCTGTATCTATGTAATTAAATTATATGTGTTGCGATTGTAATATCTATTCATATAGAGTATTATTTGGGACAATTGAGCAAATATTTTTTTCTTAGAAATATGCATCCCTCTTTCTTATTTCAATCATTTGAATAATTTAGGGCCAGTTTAACAGAACTTCGCTCCTAGCTTCATCGGATCCCTACCAAAGGCTTAAAATGCAACCGGATTCTGGTGGGGAGCTTATGAGAATCACTTCTCCATTTACGCTACAACCTGGGAGCTAAAAAATCTGCTCTCCACCACTCTCCATTGCTTCCCATTCAATAACCATTAGAATCACTTCAGAATGGATTCACACCTACTCTCCACCATGCTCCTACACCCGAATCACTCCATCGGAGAATCAAAAAATGAAATTCAAAATCAGGAAGAAGAGCAATGCCAAACTAGTTCTTAAACTAATTAATGTTATTTTTGGATTTGAATTAATTAATCATGATGTAAAGGTCATGGATGTACAATTTTATCAAACTTGATTCAACCTATTGGTTGGAGGTTGATAGATTTATTAATATTGCCAAGAGAAGGACTATGTGAAGAGAGAAGATAAAACACATACATTGTTGTATTTACTGGCGCAGAACAGTTCATTGCCCAATTGGTTTGCCAATGTTTTGATTTAATTTGGACCAAACACGGTGCCAATGTTTTGATTTAATTTGGACCAAACACGGAGAGGGTAGCTGTCTTATGCAATTGGCAACCCAGACAACACCGCCATCGAGAGATGAGCTAAAAGGGAGCCCATGCAGCCTATGCGTCAGCTAAGTTTCGGAATGCCATCAGGTTCCTGGTTAGGGACGAATTAGACATTACAATCTCTATTGGAAGACGGTGCTTAAGGGGGGAAAGTCTTCCTTATGGAGTCAGCCGAGGAGAAAATTTTGCCCTGTTCTTCAGCAGTACTTTTCAGCAAACGAATAATATTTTTCTCTCACAACAAATTAGCATAAGCCAAATTTCAGCGAAACGAACAGAGCCTTTGTTTCCCCAGAGGTTCTGAATGACCTCTTAAAGGAATATTCGATGAGGCAGTTGGCAATCAGCTTCCATAACCAGAAATCCAAACTGAATACCAAGTTCGTGAAGAAAGGACTACACGCTACAAAGATGTACGACAAGATTACTGAAGCTCAGTGGCAGGTCTTTGTGTTAGCAGAAGTGCTTAGATGAGTTCTTATGTATTAGTCAAGCCAACTCCTAGCTTGTAAGGAAGAATAAGTACCATCGCCTTGTCATATGGGTGGTTACAAGCTCCAAAATCCGAAATGAAGGCACAACAAGAGGCAATGAAGGCAATCGAGTTGTCGGTACTATTTGATGTCCTTGAAGAAAGGAGCTCCAAGCCTCCAACTATCTACGTGCTCAGAAACCACAAGAAAGTGATGCTGGCTTGTCATGGATGAATCCATTGACCAAGGAAGCAACCAATAATATAACGGCGATCGCCGTTAAGGAGATGGAAGGATCATTGGAGCCCGAAAGGGAGAGGGACATCCTTAGTCAGCAGCTTGGCAACCTTGAGACCTCGGTCGCATCCAAGGCATCTCCTCAAGGTTGAGTTGTTAAGAAGCATTCCCCAGGTGGACAGACATGTAAAAAAACACGATCGTTACAAGGAAGCTATGGGAGAGTGTTATAAGGACGATGCTAGGAAAGACTTTAAACAAATGATGATGTCTCATCATGCTAGGAAAGACTTTAAACAAATGATGATGTCTCATCAACAGAGCACGCAACAGTAGCGGCCGCCACAGTAGCAAATGGTCATTTGACAACCCTCATAATCTTCTACCATTCCAAGCAACATCGGACTTATGGCAAACAAGGAGCGGTATCTAGATGATGACATCGTTGGGCTAACAGCTTGCTCATTAGTTATACCATATGGTACCACCAATGTTCAGATGTTAGAAGTTTCCACTAGCTTGGTGGTTCCAGGCCGCACGTTTCATTTTCAGCCTATTACTGATGAGTATGCCAGGGTACAAATGCTGACAGTCATATCAGGCCATCAAAACGATTTGTTAGACATTGTCACTTCAGAGAGGATCATGAACCTCAGACAAGCTATCAACAAGTTCATACTATCCCCTCAATGAGATATTAGGCTAAATGATCCCATTCCTTCGATGCCACTTCTCAGATCATTAGAATAAGGGTTACTATGTCCTGAAGAGCGAGAACATAATCGACCCTCGTCACCAACTTAAAAGGCACCAACCCCAACCAGTAGGCAAGAAGCCTCGAAACCCAAAGAGCCAGTACCTAACCATCACCAACCAAGAATCCACTCTCCCTAAGCGAGGGATTAGGGAGCTAAAGAACCTAAAGGCCTAGAACCCAAAGTTGCCTAATTCACTCCTCTATTAGGCATCATGATCCCTTCAATGAGAGAAGAAAAAAACTAACACTTGGGTCAAACAAGAGCAATGAAAAGCGCCTCAACACAAGAGGGAGCTCCACATTAAATCTAACCTCAAATTCCACCTAACCACTACTAGAGCTGCTCATCACCGGACGTTATCATTGTGCCGGAGCTGCTCGGCTCCATAAGCTCCGCTACATGACTGCTGACATGTATGCTGGTGTGGAGTCTGCAGAAGCGGACCTTTTTGCTGTATGTGCACTAGTTGAGTTGAGCTCCATTGATTTAAGGGAGTTATATTACTCGGTGGCTTGCCCAGTATTCCCTTGCCAAGGTGAGGAGCAACTGATGGAATCCCAAGCGATAATCCATAGCCAAAACCAGAAGGAATGATTCGAGGCCACCGAATAATGGGCACAAACTGATGAGTGCTAGACTGTTGGCCGGCCACTCGATAATGGAGCGCGTGAGGCAAGACCTTGTTAGCAGTGGGTAACGAATCACTGCTAGTAGCACTACCACCATGCTGTGCACTCTTCTGGAACACACATCTTCCCTGTGGGGTCAGTCCCCACTTCCTTTTTCTCTTGACATGCTCCAAACGAGGTTTGCTGCCTAATTCATCTGGGCTAAGCCACCCAAATAAAAGGGTCCTCAGCTTCATTATGTCCATTTTCCCTCTCATGAAATCTAACAAGTTCAAAGCACATTCTCTAAGGCATTTGCAAATCTTCTGCATCTGCACCTTTCCCACTGACCTTGCAAAATTTTGCGATCGGTCCAAGAAATCTTCAACCTGCATAAATAGAAGCAAAATTAGTGTTTGTGTGCTTTTCAGGGTAAGAGTCTAATCTTTTGCTACTTGTTAGTGCTCGATGCACAAATACTTAACACTTAAATTGCCGGCTCCTTTCTTCCAGGTCTTGGAGATCCATGATGCTTCAAAATTGCTTGCGCACAGCCCATGCTCCCATAAACTCTCTGCTGATAACAGCTGCAGGACAAGGCCAATTTATGGCCCTTATTAGTGAACACAATCATTTCTGATAACACATTCAAAAAAAAAATGAAACCTGAAACCATTATAAAACAAGTGCAAACTAATACTTCATTCCAAATTATAAGAGTTTTGACTTTCTAGATACATTGCTTTTACTACACACAATGTACATCTAAGTGCATAGTAAAACCTATGTATCTAGAAAACCCAAAACGTCTTATAATTTGTAATGGAGGGAGTATAAAATATAAATCACTGTTACAATTTGGTACTATGTGGCGGAGCAACAAGAAGTTTTTGATTCATAATTGTATGACCTCTGCAGCCTTATGGGGCTTAGAAATGGTATTTGTTTTCAGAATATGCAGTGGAGTATAGACGGCCTCTATCAAAATGTTGCAAGGTCTGACTCAGAAGATAAAGGCTCTCAGAGATCTGGCAAACTCTCATGTGATAATCTTAAAATGAGGTGCTGGTCTCCACGGCATGTGGGCTTTATTGCCCTGGACAGCGTGGTGCATGGAGGTACCGGTATTGAAGGTCTTGAGGGTGGCAAGTTTCAAGAGGTGGACCTTCGTTGATGCTTCTTTAAAGTCTGAAGTTTAGTAGTAGTTCTGTGGTTCAGGTTTGTAAGCTTTGTGTTTCTGTCCTTGATCACATGGACAGTTGTCATGTGGTTATGGTTTCCTGATTGCTTTGCAAACTTTAGCTGGTTGAGGATGTTGCCGGTTCTTGAACTTGAGTTGTAAACACTTCTGGTCTTTTGATTTTAATTGAAAGGCTGGGACATGGGCCGAAAACTCTAAAAAATAATTCTTGGACAATGCAGTACTAACAAAAAAAAAGGAAGCTAAACAAGTTCAGGGGTATGGCACAATTAGTGCCTTGTACCATAGTTCAAGGCTAAAATGCCCAAGTACAGAAAATAACATGTCAACATGGGTACATAATGAGAATTTACGCAAATGTAGTTCGAGCTTATCCTAATCTCCTATTTGTTGTAAAAAAAAGTATGTACAGTAAACACGAGTGTATGAGAAGAGCTCATCCAACATACCAAGGAACAACTATAAAAACATGTTCATATAGATTCAATTATGGCAAGTAACTTCAACCACAAACATAAGTAGGACGATGAACCTTAAAGTTACTCACTTTACTTATCAATGATACAAACAGTTCAGCCACAGATTCTTTATTTTTACTCCCAAAACCCCTTAAACAGTAAAGTGTTCCTCTCAACGCTTGTGCAGTCTAACCCATCTGCAAGAGTAAGAATATAGAAAGTTATCCTTGGTTTCAGTGGAAAAGTTAGCAGAATGATGTTAGTAAAAGGAAAAACAAAGAGCAAGTATGATAGAAGTTAACCTTTTAACAAGTCAGAGAACGCAGGCAATATTGGAGGATGCTGGGTCTGCACTGCACATTGATGCTTATATTCTTAGCCATGTATCTAATGAGTTGCTACTCAAACACTACCATAAAACTAAATGGAGTAAAATCCAATTTCTGGTACACAGAATGCAATAGCATGAAGTGTAGGGATTCAGACTGAGGAAGTGTAGCGGAAGGATATCTATCACGTTTTCTGAACTAGCAAAAATCCTTTCCAGAATTTGTCAATACTAAAGGAGATAATTTATAGTTTCCTCAATATGTTTCATCTTATTTTCTATACAAATGAGTCCAAAGCTTGTGTCTTCAAATACAGATTGATTAGTAGGTCAATTAATCAAAACAAAAGGTAATGGGACAGTTACTTGCAATTTATTTAATAACCAAACCAAAATAATAATTAACCCATGGTACCTGCAAATGGAAAGCAACTAGTGAAATAATTGACATGGAGCTCATAGTTCGTTGTCTTGGGCTATTCAAATCATGTACCTTAGCCCAGAACTTAACCTGAAGAACAAATGGGAAAAGGAAAAGATTGTTGTCACATAGTTTCAATTCATCACATGGCTTTGTTAAGTTACTAATTAGAAAGAAAACAAAGATTGCATTACCAAGTAACTTAGTATCTGAAACCTTTCATCAAGTGAGGAAACAAATTTGATGATCATTGACCTTGTCATGCCATCTTTATTTTCAACCGAAATATCACATTCGATCCCTGTGCCACAATCAATAGCCTTCAGTATAGGCACCCTAGCACTTACAATAGGTAAAACCCCACAGAAAATTCCACTCCCTGGATGGATCAAAAAAGAAAAGGTTGAATATATTTACAAATATCAATGGGCATGCAATAAATACCTGAAAATATTCTGTCTGGGGAAATACTTACTCTGATGAGAATATAGAACCTTGGAAAATTTCCTGATAATAGAGATCATTTGCTTGCGAGTATATCGCTCATCAGTATTAGCACTGAAATTGATAGAGAGGTCCAGGTCACTATGAGGAGTAAATAAATCCATCGTGAATGATCCAAATGGTTCCACAACCGGAGACCCACTGTTGCTACCTGATATTAGAGTTAAATAAAGGTCAAATCAACATGGTTGAGACGAAGTTCAATGTTCCAATGTGACTGGTACATGATTTCCTGAATATCTACAACTACAAGAGTCCACTCAATGCTCGGTGTCATTGCTCAGTGAGTTTACCCCAATAGAGTTCTGTACTTTTAGCAGCCGATTGGCAATAGACCAATACAACATCTATGTGTTCCATTTTCTTTTTCGAAAATTCTCCATATTTCCTAATACTTCTTAAACCAGTGCATGGTGAAACAACAGGTGGTTTGTGATGATATATCCAATTACCGAAGATATTTGATGCAACAGGCCAGGATATAAACTATTACTATCAGCATTGTGCTGGTATTGCACCCCAGAATTGCCTAGATTTTCCTCCACAACTGATTCCACAGACTAAAAAATGGAGATTTTTTGAAAAATAATAAAAAAATAAATAAAGAGAGTTCTCAGAGAGAGAAGAACTGCAAATTTTATAACTAATCACCAGTCAGCATTCACATTACTACTTATTAGGGATGAATTTGGAAGCTAGAGGTTGGTGACTATATTCAAATAATCGATAATGTCCAAGAAATGGAAACATACCAAATCTTCGATTCACCATCTCCCTGAAGACATCAACCAAGGCGTTGCGCTGGTCATAGTCAAGTGGCTTGGGACGCAGAATGGCATACGCCTCGAGAAGCAACTGATTGAGAGCTGGAAGCAGACAGGGATTGACTGATATTGCAGTTAACTCCTCCAGCTCCAGACATTCAGCATGACTGCTTAACACTGCACAGGAGAAGATAAGAACCGGTTATATCTTCCAAAACCCACACCGTAAGTCGCACTAAAACAAATCCGGGACAGATCGACAGTTGCATCTGAAAAAAAAAGAGCAAAAGAGGAAATCTGCTTTGGCTGTTTGATTTCTGGAGCGCAGGGTCCAGCTGTCCATGGAAGCATGAATCGGAAAAGCAGGCCTGGCACTGCTTCTTCTAATGTGACTAATGAAAACCGCGGGCATATGTTGGGATGGGAGTAAAGAGAAATGGAGATGGGGAGGGAGCAGCAAGCAGAAGGAACCAGTAGGAGGGTACCTTGAGAATCCCATGTGCTTGCCTCGCTGGACCTGCAACAAGGGAAGAGCGAAATCAATACCCACAACAGTAACAGCGTCAAGCGCGCGCGATGCAGAAATGCGATCCCGAGCACCCCGAAAGAGAAGGGAAGGGAACCAAATCGATCGTCTCCCATGGAGTAGATTGAACTTGGGGTTGCGGGGAATTGGAAGGGTTTGGGGGAGGGACGGGCTAAGGAGACAGACTAACTGAGAGGAGTCGGAGTCAGAGTCGTCGGACACGGAGCTGGCCGCCAGAGTCGCCATGGCGAAGGACCACTGCTCGCCGTGCCGTGCCTCTCTCTCTCTACTTCAAGAGTAAAATCCGTCCTTGAACTTGTTCCCCAGTCTCATACAGGTCCATGTAATTAGGAAACCAGGTTTACACGTCCTTTAACTCGTTAAATGTATCATTTACATTCCAATCTGGATTTGCAAGACTGTTTTGTCCAATCTGAACTGCCATGTTGCCCTGCAGGTGGAAATGGCGGGAAATCTCTCGCCAGTTTGTTGGCTGTTTTGTAGTATGCCCCCTAGCCATATTGCTTTCTCCTCCTTTTTATGTATGTGGTCCTCGTTGCCTCAGCCCCACTCTCTTTCCCCATTCTTATTCTTCTCCACTAGAACGCCATGACGGCCCCTTCGAGCTTGAGCTCCAGGCAGCAGCGCGCAAGGTTGAGGCCGGATCTCCCCTTGATCTGGTGCAACGAGTGTGGGCGGGCTGAGGTGGTCGAGCGCCCGTCAAACACTATTTTGAATCCAAACCGCATCTTCTTTGTATGCCCCTATCATCAGGTATTGTTTGATTCCTGATTTGCATGCAGTTCACTGGTCTTGGAGTGTAATGCCTTGTATTGGTCTGTGTCATCATAGAGAAGGACGTGGTTGCCCGTTTTTCTACTGGGAGGAGGGGTACGTGGATCTGTTGGTGTCGGTGCGAAAAGTGACCAACTAGTAAATATTTGTCGTTTTGTCGTACGTTGTGATTGAATGTGACCTAGCACTTGATGACACAGGGTTTATACTGGTTCAGCCAACGTGCCCTACGTCCAGTTTGAGTTGGTCGGTGACTTTATTTCTGAGCCCAGGTGCTCGAAGTTTGCTGTGGGGTTACAAACGAGAGGAGTAAAATGGGGGTATCAAAGGTCCGGTTGGACTCCGGACCGAAGGGCCAAGAGTGACGGGAGCTCCGACGTGCGCTAAGTGTTCGAACATATGCTCTATCTGGCTTTAGAGTTCTAGGGCCAAACAGAGAGGATCGAAATCAACTATCTATTGTTCGTTGGAATGGTCTATTTGAATCAATCGTCCTTCTCTTGGAGAGAGCACATCTCCTTTTATAGATGAAGGGGACGGCTTTACAAGAGAGAGTGTGTGCTACCTAGTCTTGTTGCCCACGCCGTCAGGTACGAGACGGTTTATCGGCGCCTACAATACTGTTGACATCCTGATGCATGTGGTTGGTTCCATCGTGTTCTTCTGGTATGGCCAATGTTGGCGCCTACTATACTGTTTGGCAAATGTCGGCGCCCATAACACTGTTTCGTGCTTTCGACACGTCCCGAAAGGTTCTTGGAGCACCCTTCCGACATGACTGACAAGATCTTGTCCCGCAGTGTGTCGGTGGTATGGTCCTCGGTATTGCGGTTTAACTTCAATACCGCCTTTACTTGCTCACCGACTCTTTGGGTCTTTACCGAGTGGGCGTCCCCGTTCGGCTGTTTCCCAGTCGGCTCCGACCGCGACGGTCGGAGAAGAGCTGTAAGCAGAGGTTCGGTGTCCTTCCGGTTGGAGAGGCGAGTTGGAGTCGGAAGCGAGCGTCGTCCCCCCTTGGCCAGGCCTTTCGGTCGGAGAGGTGGGCCGGAGTCAGAGGCGAGCGTCGTCCCTCCTTGGCCAGGCCTTCCGGTCAGAGAGGCGGGTCGGAAGCGAGCATCGTTCCTCTTTGGCCAGGCCTTCCGGTCGGAGAGGCGGGTCGGAGTCGGAAGCAAGCGTTGTTCCTCCTTGGCCAGGCCTTCCGGTCGGAGACTGGATCGCCCTTTTGGCCTATTGTTGGGTATCTAGGCTGGCCCAGGAGTTACGTGTTGTTCGCAACATCGTCTGCTGGGCCAAGCTTTTGCTGGGAAGCAGATCTATTAGGGACCCCGGGTTTATGAACCCGACAGGAGCCTCCGAGCCCCCGGGCGATTCTGGTAGAATCGTTTGGGGGGGGGGTTCGTTTTGATAGCGCGCACCCACGGTTGTAGCCCCCGAGCCCCTGGGCGATTCGAGTAGAATCGTCTGGGGGGGTTCGTTTTGATAGCGGGGGAATTCTTCATTTTGACAGCGGGTGCGCGTGAGCGCACCCACGGGTGTAGCCCCCGAGGCAGCGTTCGACTGGTGAGTCGGTTGGAGGCTGAGCAACTTGGTACTTTTTCTTAGGGCCGCAGACTGTCGTTTGGGGTGTTTGCCCGTGTTTGTCCCACCCGCGACCTGCATGGTCGATTGATTTCCCGAGTCAGTGTCGGGCGACCTGGGTTCGGTATGGGTTCGTCTAGTTCCGTGCGTTACCCCGTCCACGGTTTCCGCAACCAGAGGGGCTGAGCTAACGTTGCTTGCCTTGATGGCTCAAGCGACGCACTCAGTGAGCTCGCTAACGGGTACGTTCTAGTGGAATCCGGGTCCATCATTCGTGACGGGGTCGGCATAGCCCTCATGTGGCATTCCACTGCTCCTTAACCCATGTCCCGGTAGAGGCCTAGGTCATTCTGGAGACCGACTCAGGTGGCCCGCTGGCCTCCCCTTGATGGAGATTCTGTGGGCATGGCTCGAGGTTATGATGGGTGTCTGTGTATGGAACACACGACTGCAACTTGTATGGCCTGATCTTCATAGTAGAGCATAAGTAAACTTGATAACTATCGTTGCATGACATAATGGAGAGGTAGCGCACTACGAGATCTTGCACCCGCGACGAACTGCCGAGACATCCACCCTTCCATGCACCGACAAAACCAGTCCATGCAATCACGCCATATAGACATGAAGGCACAAAATGGATGAACTAAAGTTCGGTGTTCTACAACCCCCTCAGGAGTCGAAAGAACGAATGTTGCAAAGCACTCATGCCTTACCAAAGATTCCAAATATTTTCTCCATGAGAGGAGAAAAACACACACAAGGTGGCTGTATTTTAACCAAAAGAGACTCTTACATAGAAGGATTACATGGGTATTTATACAATGACGAAAAGTATGCGAAAAGTTGACACTTAATATGGGTGCTAACCACCATACCAAAGGTCCTCTTTACTTTTGGCTAACTAAAGTGGGAACTCAAGCAATCTCTTCAATTCTCGCGCATGTGCTGGGCTGCATGTGCAACTTCCACTAAAACGATCATAACTCTTAGCTCGGAAGTCCAAAAGATGCACCGTTTGTTGCGTTGGAAACTAGACTTCAATATCTTTCTGTTGATATGGAATAAGGATGCAGAAACATGGCCCAGTTTTGCAGGTATAGCTGTAACAAACTATTGAATCATAGTTGAGGTTGAGTTATCCTTGTCCATATCATTCTCTCTCCCTTCGAAACGAGTCATCCTCGACTTGTGCTCGTAGCATCAACATTGGACGAACATTATTGGAAACATTGGACGAACATTATTGGAAACGAGTCGTCCTCGATATCGTCACCCTATTCTAAGGCTTGATGACATGTTAGATGAGCTGAGTGGTTCAACTATTTTCACCAAGATTGATTTACGTAGTGGTTATCATCAAATTCGAATGAAAATAGGTGATGAATGGAAAACAACATTTAAAACTAAATTTGGTCTCTATGAATGGCTTGTGATGCCCTTTGGTTTGACAAATGCTCCTTCAACTTTTATGTGTTTGATGAATCATGTGTTAAGAGCTTTCATTGGCAAATTTGTTGTTGTTTATTTTGATGATATCCTGATCTATAGCAGATCATTTGATGAACACCTTGATCATATCCATCAAGTTCTTGCTGTTTTGAGAGCTGACAAATTGTATGGAAACATTGCTAAATACACATTTTGCACAGACCGTGTTGTTTTTCTTGGATTTGTTGTTTCTGCAGATGGAATTCAAGTTGATGAAGAAAAGATTAAAGCAATAAAGGATTGGCCTACACCTACAAATGTGAGTCAAGTTTGAAGTTTTCATGGTCTTGCAGGTTTTTACAGGTGTTTTGTTAAAGATTTCAGCACCATCGCTGCACCCCTCAACAATTTGACAAAGAAGGATGTTCCATTCAAGTGGGGTGATGAACAAGACCAAGCCTTCAATGAGCTGAAAACAAAGCTTTGTGAAGCAAATATTGCTACAACTTCCCGATTTTGGTAAGACATTTGAGATCGAATGTGATGCAAGTGGTATTGGCATAGGAGGTGTACTACTTCAAGAAGGTAAACCTATTGCCTACTTTTATGAAAAGTTGAATGGTCCACATCTGAATTATTCTGTCTATGATAAAGAGCTTTATGCCTTAGTTCGAGTTTTGGAAGTTTGGCAACATTATTTGTTACCTAAAGAATTTGTCATCCATTACGATCATGAAGCTTTGAAATATCTAAAAAGTCAAGGCAAACTAAATCGTAGACATGCTAAATGGATTGAGTTCATTGAAACATTTCCTATGTTGTAAAACATAAGCGTGGAAAAGATAACATTGTTGTCGATGCCTTATCACGGAGATGTGGTTTGGTTACACAATTAGATACAAAAGTGCTTGGTTTGGAATCCATTAAAATACTCTATGCAAATGATTCTCGATTTTAAAGAACCTTTCTCTCATTGCATTCTTTGGAAAAGGTCGGGACAAGTATTATGTGCATGATGGTTTTTATTTCGGACTAACAAACTATGCATTTCAAATTTCTTTCGATTCATCAAGTTCTTTTGTAGGAAGCACATGTCTTTGGTGGCTTAGCTGGTCATTTTGGTGTCAAAAGACATTGGACATGCTCTCCGATCATTTCTTTTGGCCACATATGCGACGTGATGTCCAAATGACATGTTGCACGCCGCATAATCTGCTTGAAAGCTAAGTCCCGCCTAATCTCCATGGTCTTTATACTACATTACCGGTTCCGAATGTACCTTGGGAAGATATATCCATGGATTTTATTTTGGGGTTACCTCGGTCTCGAGAGGGGAGGATTCTATCTTTGTTGTTGTTGACCGATTCTCTAAAATGGCACATTTTATTCCATGTCATAAGAATGACGATGCTTCACACGTTGCTAATTTATTTTTCGGGAGA